GATGCAATCTGAAGAAGGCAATAACTCACCCAAGGCAAGCAGTGTGACTGAAAACCAAAGCTAAAAATAAAGCCCTGATCAGACAAACAGCAACACAACCGGCGAGGGAATAGAGACCCTCTAAAGAAACAATAGGGAGGACCGCCGTTGCCGCTGCTGATGCTGCTGGCAACCCCCAGACACACTTTTCAACAATATGATGTTAGAGTCTGCCCCCTAACAAGATTTTAACAGGACTGCAGTGGATGCAGCATTCTGATGAGGCTTAATTCAATTCGCATAAAACAAAAGCGCACACAACCGCTGTGATTGTGCTGTCGGACTCAGCGGCGGTAATGTCGCGTTATCCTCTTTTGGTTGTTCCATATAAAGCTGACAAAAGAGCATGTAAATCAGAGTAAGATTAAGTCTCTGTGCACACTGTGTAAACAAACCCAGAGTTGCTGTCTGGTTGCACTACACAACTGACTGCTGTATCAGCTGACGATCAATAACGCAGAGCTCCTCATCTCTTATCAGGTATCAGTGACATGCTGTGTAAACAATGTCTGATTTGCGGATAAAAGTCGTAAATATTTACTTCAACTTTAGATTGTGTTTGGGCTGCAATGTGGAGCGGTGGGTAGCACTGTTGCCTCGCTGCAAGGAGGTCGCCGGTTCGGACACCCGGGATCTTTCTGCGTGGAGTTTGTATGTTCTTCCCGTGCAGCGTGGGCTCTCTGGTTTCCTCCCACACAGTCTAAAAACAAGTTGAGGTTAATTGGTGATTCTAAATTGTCCGTAGGTGTGAATGTGAGTGTGCTTGGTTGTCTGTCTCTAAGTGTAGCCCTGTGATAGACTGGTGACCTGTCCAGGGTGTCCCCTGCCTTCACCCTAAGTCAGCTGGGATAGATTCCAGCCCCCTGCGACCCAAGTGAGGATTAAGCGGTGTATAGATGATGGATGGATGGATGAATGGGATAAACTGTATTTGAGGATGGATGGCATGACGCCTCCCTCAAAAGGTAAATCACCTGGATCGCCCCCTGGTGGATAATCCGTCTCTTCAACGTTAGCAGATACATGAGCTAAAATACAAAAAGTGCACTTTGAGATACAGTTCCTGTCTAAGCACTTCTTAGCACGTTGATGTATGTTGGGTTGGTTTCTGATGAGATATCTGATGCTACAAAAACAATAATCAGGAATTGTGCAACAGACGATCCACAAATAGAGTTGTTGTGCAGTTCACTGTACTCACAGATATTCTGAGGGTTCTGGAGGACAATGTGCTAAGTTATCAGTCTATTAGAAGGTTGAATTGATGTTGGTGCTATAGTGAGAGAGCTAAGAGCACAAGCAATCTATGGAGGGGAAATGCAGTTACCACATCACAGAACTGCTTCTCTAGTTAAATAGTTGAATCCAGCAGCGTACAGCGGGCGTCCAAGACGGTCAAGATTGCGACGCCTGGGCAACATCAAGATTAAGGGGGTTGTGATGCAACATTCATCTTTATATACAGTCTGATTTTAACATACATACTCATGTAACCAAGGTCATGAGTCAAAAGTCTGTTTTTTTCCACTCTGACAAAACCTCTAAGAAAGTATTTACGGAACACTTTCAGACGAATATGAAGACATTCAAGGAAAACAAGGACATTCTGGCTTTGAGCTTTTGTGGCTCGGAGGCCAAGTCGTTGTTTTCGCATGTCTGCATGATGTAAATTAGCCCTCGTTTGTTTGTATCACCTGTACACGCTCTGGAAAAGTGAGCTTTTCGTGCACTGCATGTTTGTATTGTACTTGTTCTGTTTAAGCACGCCGTTGTCTCTCGTTTGTTTTCTTTTTTTCATGCTGTTCAGCCAGCGAAAATGAAGCAGCTGTTTTTTTCTAGCGCTCAAGTCGCCATCACGTTTTCTGGTGTGCATGTGTGGAATGTGTTCGCAAATGCAGACATCATCTACTTGTAGTATGTGTAGTGGTGCATGTGAAAGTCTGCAGCTGTCCAAGCCCAGCCTAGACCGTGACCAACAACTAAGATTTTTAAAGGCTAAAACAATATCCCTTAAAAGGAGTATTCCACCAATTTAACACATGAAGGTTGGTTTATTGGACAGCGTTGCTCAGCTCTGATAGCATCTATATAAAGATCTTTCTAATTTCTAGGATGATAACTCTGAATACTCTGAGTCAGATTTCAGATATTTATGAAACAAGCCTGTGTGACACACTGGTGGCAGGAAGCCTGAAATATGAGGCTGGTTAGGGAGACATGGGGGAAAAAATGCTATTGAGTTGCATTATGGGAAATGTAGGACCCAAGGTTTTTGAAGTTAGATTTGCAAGCAACCCAGCTTCAAGTCAGGATTTCTTTTGCTGCACCACGTTTGAGCTTTATGGCTTTTTCCTGTATCACAGGAGAAGCCGCTTTACATTTTAGTCTTGGTTTATGAGGACTAAAGAAGAAAGTTTCATCATCCATATTGTAAACTTCAGTAACACACCAACATTTGCTTTCCACATCCCGTCTTGTACATGCATGCACCCCGTGCCCTCGTGTGTGCAATTTGAATGCAGCCCCATTATCAGTAAAAAAACAACAACACAGAGGGGCAGCTACAGAACGCAAACACAACAAATAGCAAATGTCAACCATAAATATGAACAATATCGCACTGGGGTTGGAGGTATTCACAAATTGGAGGGATTATAACGCAGAGGGTTACAGCTGGATTACAGGGATCAGGTTGTGGGTAGGAGAGTCCTCACAGATATAGAAACACGTGTGTGTGTGTGTGTCACTGTGCGTCTGATTGGTCACTGGAGTTCAGCAGGCAGGAAGAGACGTGACCACACTCACCAAGCTACAAAAACATGACACAGAACATTCAGCTGGGCCAACAGCAATGACAGCCAAGTGCAGGACACACACACACACACACACACACACACACACTCCGTGGCACGCCTTGTCATCATTGTTGGTAACATCAGGGTGACCCTAATGTAATTATGCAGCACTCCATGTCTGCACCAAATGCTACAGGTCATATAAAATAAACTATGGCTCAAGCAAGATGGCCACGTGAAAATATTCCTCCTCTGCGACGCTGAGAAGCCACAAACTGCCCCCTTTTATTTCCCCCCCCTCCAACAGAGATACAGTATAACACTGAAGCAAGAAATGGTTGAGTTAACTCGCAAGTGCGTGGAATGATTGCCTCCAAAGAGACACAGAGGAGAGGAGGGCTGCTTCAGATGCCTCATACATGCTCATTTGAATTGCAAATGGTGTTAGGCAGCATGCTGGGCTGTGAAATCCCAGCAGCACCCTCGGGCATCTGAACTCACACAAACACTGACATCTACACACTGGAAGTAAGACTTTTTGTACATGCACGCTACAGTAAAGAGGAGCCGTAGAGAATCTTTGGGCTTGATTCACATCAAAGCGTCTAAACTTCACATGATCACAAATTCACGTGAACGTGCTGACAAGCCAACGGTGTGGAAACGGGTGCTGAGATGAGGTAATGGCTCGCCAGCAGTTAGGCGGAGGAGGGGGGACAGAAGATGCATCAGGTGATGCCTCAAAGGGAGGCTGCCTGGCAGGCTGACTAGGCAAGGCTGACACAGCAGGCGCAGGAGTGTGTCCGATGTTAACGACATGGATGCGGTGTGACAGCAGGTCTGCCAGCTGAGGCTGACAGCGCTTGTGCGGCCTGGAGGAAGAGTTTGACGAAGTATTATGAGCCCACCTGTACAGCAGCAGGGAGCAGGCCAGAACACTGCAGAGGGAACGAAGCCACCCAGTTGGTCTGACTTGCAAAAATGCAAGGGCAAGACAAAACACTGTTTTAACAGCCAAAGGAGGTTTGAACCATAACATTTGGGAATGTTATTTTGCATCGCTGACATTGCAACAGAGTCAAAGATTGCCAGACTGCAAATGAATGAAATAACACAGACTTAGTTCCATTAAACGTAGAAATACAGTAAAGAACACCAGGCACGTGCTCAAACAGTCCCACCGAAGCATCCTCCTGCTGATTGGCCTCTTCAATGCTGCATGCAATTCCACAGAACAGGTGAAAGCCAAGGGGCCAAAGGTGAAGCCATTTCCTCACATGGACCTGCCTCAGCATGCAGGCAAAAGCAGTGCCGAGTGTTGCTTCACCCGCTGTAGCCAACATGCTCCAAGGTATTCAGCTGAAGTCAGTATTTCGCATCACAGCACTGACAGATTCATTCATTGTGAGCTAAAGCAGAACAAACCCATGAACTACAAATGCACTTCACTTTTTTTTTTTTTCTTTCTTTCTTTTTTTAGAAGCAAAACAGAACCACTTTGTGCAGGCAAAACCAGAGGTGGTGATGAGAGGGTGTGACAATGGAAACATTAGTGTGTATGTGCTCTTGTCAGAGTGGCTGTTGCATAATTAGTGATGGGTGTGTTGGAGCACAAACGGGCTGAACCAATAGCAGATCCAGTTTGTCCTGACAGGCCAAACTCAACAGCTGATTTCTTGAAGCTTTCAAGGCAGCAACTTTAAAGAATACACAGTGAAAATCAAGGCTGGACCGTGGATGGGAACATCACATATAAAGTCCAGGCAGCATGAGAGGGGATGGACGTGAGGAGGGGAGGTTTTTGCAGCTCTCATATCAACACTGCCTGGGCCAGTGGGCACAAAACGACGCTACAACTTGCCCCTGCTTCTGCTCCATTCCCACAATCTTATTCATCCCCAGGCAGAGAACGGCGAGCAAGCGGGCAAAGTCCATGCTCGTTCTAAAACGATCTGCTCCATGGAGCAGCTGCAGCTTGAATAAATGCCCCTTTTTTTTCACTGCAGCACTACGAGACTGGAACAAAGCGCCGTAATCGTTGGCGAATTACGCGTAAAAAGAAAAAAGACAAATACAAGGAAATAAAGCTCGACACTTCAAAAAAAACACACACATATACGACTGTGCGACAAACTAGCAGGGGAAATAATGAATATTTCAACATACCCTCCTGTCAGACAGACAGACATCCAGTGGAGGACCATGGATGGTGCGCACCGGGGAGGGGGGGGGAGGTCAATACTGCTCCAGCCGCCGCTCCGTGTTTATTCTCCGGGTTAAGGGAAAGGGAGTGCGTCGGTGTTTTGCCGGTGTAAAGCCTAATGAGAGAGAGAGGGAGGAGGAGGAGGAGGAGGAGGAGAGAGAGAGAAAGAGGGAGGGACGCTGTCAGATGCAGAGAAGGCAGGAGGGTGGAAGACACACGCACACACACGCGCGTACTGTCCGTGCGTTCAGCGGGGAATGCGTAAAGCCAATCAACGCTTGTGTCATTCCTGCAAAAAAAAAAATAGCACGTCCCTCTCTGTCAACAAGTACTCACATCTAAAGAAGCAAACAGGAGGAAAAATGCCAACAAGGTGACATAATCCATTATTGTTTCCACCGCAGCCGCATTCATGTGTCATGCAACAATGTGACAAATACATACCCCCATAGAAATGCGCTGGAGCAAGTGAAGATGTCTCGTTTTTAGCCACATTTCCCTCCTTTAATGAAATATTTAAAGCCCCCAAGCAGCTAACATCTGAGGAGTTGCTCTTATTTCTCGCAGTGTCGTCAGAATGGCACAATCCCTTTGATTTCATCATTTAGTCAACTGCTCGCAGCTTCAACTCCCCTCACCTTTACATACAGAGATGATGGGATTTATTAGCGCAAAGGGCAGCGCGCCCCTGAGCCACCCACTGTTGTAAACAAAAAAAAAAAAAGGAAAGAAATAATGGGAGCTCGCCCGTGAAAAAGCAATAATAAGGAGCTATCAGTTCCCCCATTGTGCCTGCTAAATTAACAAGGTATTATTTTGAGAGGCAAGCTGAGTTTGATATAATTAATCACTGATGAGAGGTTGCTGCTGCTGATTTGATTAATCGCTGTCAGTTTCTTACAAAAGCAGGGCTTTGGTGCTGTAATATGTTCAGAGGGATAATGTAGCTGCTTATTACAGCATTAGTGTAACATTGCCGGAAGACTCTGTGAACATACAAGGTCACTAAACCCAGCCAGGCGCTCAGGTAATCTGAGAAACCATCCAAAGGGACACCAGACTTTCCCCAAAAGCCAAGTTTAGTCGGCACGTTTGAGATATTTCATCCCGATGAAGCATGCCGTTGAAAGAGTGGGTCTACCTCAGTGATTTGAACTCGCAGTGGACTAAAGGATCGATTTAGCAGAACCGGAGACGTCACCTTATCCATTAATCAGCCTCAGCATGAAAACACTGACAGGTGAAGTGAATAACATTGATCATTTTGTTACAATACAATGTTCTGCTGGGAAGCCTTGGGTCCCGGCACTCGTGCGAATGCTAGTGTGACACATACCACCCACCTGAACATTGCTGCACACCAAGCACACCCCACCATGGCAACAGCAGCAGCTTCTGCCAGAAGGACAATGAGAAATGGCAGGAAAAAAAAATTGCTCAGCAACAGCTCAAGCAGCACGACAATGAGTCCGAGGTGCTGACCGGCCTCCAAGCTCCCCCCAAGTTCTAATCTGATTGAGCATCTCCAAGGAGGACCGACCCGGCGACCCTCTGCCAACGTCCTGGTTCCAGACACCACAGGACACCGTCAAAAGTTAAATGTCCATGGCTCAGCAGGTCAGAGTGGGTTTGGCAGCACAAGGGGGACCCACAAAATATTAGAGTCGGTTAAAGTTAATGTTGTGTCCTTGTCAAAACCTGGCGTCCATATTGTCCACAACTTAACCACCAATGTTTCCGTCTGCTATCCTCAAGCAGTCACAAGATGATTTGTTTTTGACTCCACAATCCAAATGTTTCCCATCATTTGCCTCTTAACCAACTTAAGCAACACCACTTGAGGATCCAACTGCAGGACCCACAAAAGGTTTTTATACAACATTTTTTTTTCCATATATGCAGTGTGTAACCAGTTTAAACATTCATCCTATATTATCTAATCCTGACATGCCATAGCGGATCTCTGGGTTAAAAGTCAACATGACTATGTTCATGTGTTTAATGCAGCTGTAATCAGTTTAGCTACATTTACCGTGGATCTCCAATTATACAGAACACCCCAGACACGACCAGCAGCACCAACAGGGACTTTATTTCAATTGAAAAAATATAATAAAAGCAAATGCTTTTTTTTTTTCCAATGATTGTGATGGTACATACATTTTAAGGATAAGTCAGCATTACCGCTCCATCAGGTGACAAGAGTTGGTGACCAGTGCTACTGCAGGTTTGGGAGAATCACAACTAGGCTCTTTAGTTACCACGATGATTAGTCACTTTTGGTTTGTAAATTCAGAATAATCCCAGAAAGCCTTTGTTACTTACACAATTTAGGAAGTGATGTAATGAGTAATGCAACGAATGACCCCTTCTATTCAGTAACAGGTAAATAAATGCAAGATAAGTGATGCCTTTATGTGATTGATTACTTTTTTTAACTCTCCGAACTTTTAGTACCACACAGCTATCTGTTGTGTGGTAAACATAGACAGACCATACACACTTTGCACAGAAAGCGACAGGAGAGGGGGGATTTGATGGGGGCATAGCAGCTAAAAACAACCATGTAGAATTTGTATATATCTATATATTAAGGAAAAATCAACACATAGTGGTAGTGAGCCCCTTGGTGGCCTACAGAGAACACTCATCATCCATGTTGGCTTCACACTAATCCGGTCTTCTTGTTTTTCTGGACTCCTTGATTCAGGATTCATTCGTAAGTCAGTGTAATCCATATTTTTTCTCATGGTTGCATCATTAAAACATTTTCACTGAGAGAATTGCATGAGATGCTGTTTGAGCCTAATTGTCCGTGAGACATAAAAGTGTTGTTGTGCTTCTGAGACAAACATGTGAGAAAAAAAAAATTCTAAGGTTGACATTGGTTCTTAAGCCGGTACAGTTGGTCTGGTCTGCGTGCATCATGTATTCATCTATTGATCTATGCTTTGAACCTCTTCTTAATACACATAGGATTGTTTCAGTTGCGAGTGGACAAATCAATCAGAACTACTTCAAAGCCTTGCGATCTGTTTAATAATGGAATATCTCCGTCTTCAGCGGTGGGAAACAACAATGGCTCCTCGGAAGGCCGACGAATGAAGAGCTGGGAGTGTAAAGAGATGATGATGACCTGGCCTTGGAGGAAAGGAAAACAGAGACATGGATGTTAAATAAATGCACAAAGCACAGCAGTGATGCATATTCATGAACAATCAGATGTCGGGATGTAAATAGGATGATGCCAGGCGCCAGTTCTCAGCTCACAGTTTAATCATCCAAACGGGCTGAGTAAGCGCACACACACACACACACACACACTCACACACACTCACACACACACACACTGACACACACACACTCACACTCACACACACGACAGTGAAAGTGCTGCTGGTTAAAAAAAGCAACTCAAATGTCTCTTTTACAGGATTTATTCTGAAAGCCTTCTGAGATGTGATGTTATAATCATTCTCTTTTATAATCTGGGGGTGTTGATTGTAGTTGTGTTATTACTCTACACTGTAAAGAAAAAACATATTCTGGAAACAGGGGAATACTGTAATGTCTAATCATTTTAAAACGTGAAATAACATCAAATATTAAGAAAAACAATGATAATTTTATCAGATTTAAATAAAGTAAAACTGATTTTACAGTCACACACTGCAGAAAACTGAAATACTAGTTGCACAAATACAGATTTTTCGGTTATTTTTGTTTGTTTTTATAGTCAGCATTGAAATTAATATACTTTTTTGTGATTTTAATAGAGATTTTCTTCAATTTGACGGGATAAAAACAGTAAAAACAAAATAAATCCCACCTATTAGTCTTTAACATCCATATTTTTATTTTTATTTACAGCAAATATTTACAAAATTATTATTTTTTATGATTTAAATGAAAAAAGAAAAAGGTGTAATTTTACAATCAAAAACAATAAAAGAACAAATTATAATTTGTACAAATACAGTACTTTGATGTGGGCATTAATTTACAGTTTTTTGTTTGTTTCAAAACTTTTTATCTGCGATTTTACTATTAATTATGTGTAATTTAACAAAACAGGGAAAATGTATAAAATTAAAATAAATTTGCAATAAAAAAAATGTGGGATTTTTTTTTTGTTTTTGTGGGTTTTTTGTTTGTTTTTTAACAGCATACAGGCTAGCAGTTCCACTCCGAGCACCTCCACACACTAAAGTGACTTTAAGCAAGACACTGAATCCTAAATTTGCACTGTTTAAGTGTGATCATGTCTGCATTTTAACCCTGATCTGCTTTTCATCACAATCTATATCAAAGAAACTCCTAATTTATGCAGAAAGCTGCCAAAATCCCAGTCTTCCGGTGCCTGCCAGCTCTTGTCCTACATCAAGAGAGACAGGCTCCAGCCCCCTGCGACCCTCTACAGGATAAAGCAGGTATAGCAAATAGATGAATGTACTCTTAGATGTTTTCCATCATTTCATTTATCTTCATCTACATATTGTCAGGACATGAAATGGTCTCTATATAGTTTAGTAAATGCACTTATTCGTTTCATACTTTACACATAATGTGACCTTTCAGTGTTGCCAGTTCTTTATTTATTTATTGTTTGTGTACGTGTGAATGACTTGTGTGCATTTAAGTTGGCTTACCTCAAATTGCCTCTTCAGAGACTCAGTTCACTTCAACCTTTCGGTTTGAGAGAAGCTTTGCTTGCAAGAGGGGGGGAAAAAAAAAGGTCAGTTCTGGTGAACAGTGATACAGTCCATTTGTTGGTTTCAGTCCATTCATCTCAGAGTACCCAGATCAGATCAGTTGCCTACAATGGTGACCTTTTTTGGATTTTAACCTCTGAGAGGCACAAGGTCTGGAAATTTCACAGTCTCTAAAGTGGCTTTTAAAGCGTTTACATAACCTAAACTGGATTTACTGTATGCTCTGTCCTGACTGCATGTCGGATCTGGAAACCCGGCCCCTACACCTTCTGTGCCTCCCATTATCACTGTAACTGAACATGTTTTTCTTACTCTCTTTGAAATGATGAAACACCAAAACATGACTTGAGTTATTTTGTCCAGACATAGACTT